TAAATTCGCCAAAGCTCTTTTATTTTATTTCTGCATTTTTTCACACTCACGACACATTTTAAATGTAACTATTGATTACCATTTCAAACACCGATATCATAACTCAGTGTAACATTACACCATAACTCATTTTTTTCCCTACTAACTACAATTTTATATGTTCAAGAAGTACATCTAAGACATGAGCATCTATGTTATAGAAAATCAATTCAATTGCGAACATACTATTAAGACTTGCGATTTTAGAAGACTTGCATATATTAACGATGTCAACGTTTTTGTAAGATTCGCATCAAATCATGTCGTATTCGAATGTGGTGTAAGAGATCACTTTTTCTTTTAAACACTTGTAAACAATGGATGCAATTTATAAGAACAGAAGTATCATGCTGTTTCAAAACATCATTATCAGCATACTTCTGTTTCTTTTGACACCGGCAACATTTAAAAAAAAAAAAAAAAAAAAAAAAAAAAAAAACGTTTCGTGAGAGCCAGCCTATTGGGCGTCATATGTATATTGCGTTATCATGATAAGATAGATTAATGGAAAACTCTGATAATCACTGAAAAACTTATAACAGAAGATTATTTTTACACATATGACGCCCGATAGACCGGCTTCGCAAACAAGACATGAATGCTATTGTATCAGAGTGAAGAAATCATTTCGCTAATGTATTTTTTAGATAATTTTTGCTTTTTAAGAATGCTACGTATTTCTATATCATTCAGAATTCTCATTAGATTCAAAAGCTAATATGAGGAATATATGTGATACAGAGTTAAATGTGGAATTATACGAAGAATTTTATTCACGAAATGAACTATCGTTTTTAAGAACTATAATTATTTTAAAAATATATTGAAATTGGACTCAATTTCAGAAGAAAAGTTTTAAAGGCTAGTGATATAACACATTCGATGGACAAATTTGAAAAATCCAAAAACAAAAAACGGACATCGTTAATACATGCAAGTCTTCTAAAATCGCAAGTCTTAATAGTATGTTCGCAATTGAATCGATTTGCTAGAACATAGAAAATGATCATGTCTTAGATGTACTTCTTGAACATATAAAATTGTAGTTAGTAGGGAAAAAATGAGTTATGATGTAGTTTTACACTGAGTTATGATATCGGTGTTTGAAATGGTAATCAATAGTTACATTTAAAATGTGTCGTGAGTGTGAAAATGCAGAAATAAAAGAGCTTTGGCGAATTTAATAAACGCGGTTCAATGTGGTTGATGGGAAAAATTTGTTCCATGTGAATTAAATAGTGTAAGAATATGAACCTCTTTCTCTCAATAGTTAATTATTCAATTGTAAGACAATTAAACTTTAAATATATATGCATATAGTACATGTAATGATTAATATTACATTGAATTAATGTAAATAACTGATGATATGTGTATTAACATAGTGAATGTTCGCTTTTATGAAGTTCTAAGCATTACTTTAAATACCATTCATAAAACTTTTATCTCATATATACAAACATGACAATATCTATTGAGTTTTCGTTTGTTTATTCTTTGGAATGTATGAAAGTTTAAATATTTTTTTTTTAATTTAATGTAGATTGGAGTAAAATATCTGTATCTTCTTTCTTCATTTCAATCGGTAATATCTGTATGCTGGTAAAGGTACGTATGTTCGTAAGATTTATACTGTGTCACATTTTTGACAATCTTCTTTCATTCATATTAGCTAATAAGAGAATTATTGAAGTTAGTAAAGTAATGAAAATCAACGTTATTGAAAGAAAACTCTAAAAGCATTTACATTTCCAGAAATATATCAAAGTTCCTTTTCTTAAAAACAGCAGGTGTATCGTAGTTTTTATTTCTATTTCGTTTAAAAGCTGAACTTGTAAAATAAAAATTTTCTATTAGTGTAAGGTAAACAAAAAGAAAATCAAGAGACAATCCGTATCATGAATGAAATTCAAGTCTTACATCGGATTAAAAAGAAATATTCTGAATCTAAATGTTTATGCCTATTTAGCACAAAATCACAAAATGTGTTTATTTTGTTTATATAAATTTAACTAAAACCATTCTTATAACAACAGTATGTTGCCTTTAAACTGGGTAAAAAATGTTAAGTATATTTTCTGATGGTATTGATATACTTGTCAAAGAAGTTCTAGAAACCTCAAATGTCGAAAGAGCATATGATAAGAATCTCCTTTCCTATCGCTACGCTACGTCAGTTACAGGTTAAGGGGTGGCTTGAATGGATAAAGGTAATGTTTGTGCAAAAATATAGTAGTTCTATTTTGAAATGAGAAATAATTCGCTTTTTGTCAATTAAGGAAACTGTGGTATTATTAAACAGAATGTCAGTGAAAGACATTGCGTTTGCATAGTGAATTATGAAGGTACTGAAAGGTAGTAAAGAAGGTGAATGAAAGAATTAATTTGAACAAATAAGGTAAGGCTATCATTAAAAGAAAAAAAACTGTTTCAAAAGATGTATGTTAGAATTAAAAGTAAGATGTTAAAATTTAAAAAGATGTAACAGAGTAAAACCAAAGAATACTGGTAATTCCCATCTGGAAAACAGTAATTTGAGTACGATATTGAAAAAGTTGGTTTTAAGAATTTCTTTATGCATGTGATGCAAAACAATTGCTAGTTTATCATGAGTGCTGACATAGATGCAATTAGTGCAGGAAAAATAGTAAAATTAGTATAGTTCAGTGTCTCTAAAACATGAAAAAATAATAGTGTGAGCAGTGTAAATTCATTTGAAGTACTGAAATATGACATAGACTAAATATCAGAAAATGTAAGAAATATTTTGGTATGTGTGGATGAAACACTGAACGTGGTTGTAAAATTAGAAATGAAAATTATCAACACACTTAAAGGTAATCGGGATTTAAAACTAAACATGATGTTAGAAACTTTGAAGACCATAAAACTATATGAGAAAGAAATACATTTAGATATAAATGGTATTAAACTGTAAAGTTGTGAATGGAAATTTCTGAGTAAAACCTGTAGATGATCTATTATGATCGGAGAATAAAACAAGTATTTTAAAAATTGTAAGGAAATATTTGAATATGGAGTAAATGAAAACAATCCATATCGTTAAAATGAATAAAAAGGGATAAATGATAAAATGTTGGAATTACGAGTGATGAGACAGAAATAAAAACATTATAATAAATAAGTTAAACTAGAATTAAGAAATATAAACACAGAAGGGAAATCATGAACGTAAGAAAAGCAATTAACAGTTATAGACTTAAGTTTTTAAAAAAAATATTCGTAAGTAATGTAAGGAAGATATTGTTAAACATGTGAAAGAAATTAGAAATTCTGTAGAAAATTTAGTAAAAGAACTAAGATCACGAAAAATAAACGTTTCTTTTTAAATAGAATTTCAAACCACTAAGTTAAAGTGTGTATAGAATACTAGAATGGTTTTAAAAAAGTAAATGAAGTTAAAATTCAGAATATATTGAACATTATAACGTTAAAAAAAGTGTGAAATTGCATCTAAAATTAAGTAGTGTAACAAATAAACAGCATGTGCGGGAACGTTTGTGAAATATAACATATAAGTTAAAAATCAGGGTATGCTGAAATTTATGAAAGGTATGAAAAAAAATAGTATGTGGAAATTAAATAAAATATTACAAATTAGAAACGTTAAGTATTAAAAAAATATGACAGTAAATGAATATGTTATTATGAACAGAAAACCTGAGAAATAAGTTAAAGTTTCATGGAAAACTAGAAAGGATAAAAGTATCAGAATAAAATTGAGTAATAAAAAAAATTATCTTGTAGTTTCATTTCATGACATGATGAACTATCATTAAAGGAAAGTCTTTTTTTTATATTTGTTTCTTTTACATTGTTTTCAGAGTCGCGCATTGAATAATTTTAAACACCAGACTTAAAAAATATATTTCTAAAACATATAATTCACTTTTTTCGTCAAGAGAGGGCAGCATCGCCATTTCATCAAAATTAAGATGCAGAAAATATTTCCCGTTGCCAATTTAAAAAAACTAACTTTAAATGAAAAGCAGGAGGTCTACAACTCAACCAGCAATCTACCAACAACTCAACTCCACTCGTGACCACGCCTCCTAGTGTGATGATGTTCCTTTGCCCCCTTTTTTTACCATTAACCGAGGATAAATTAACAATTTTTTAAAGGCAATTTTACAACTTTATAATTTTCAATCCAAATGTGGAGAAAAATTGGCATGCCATTTCAGAAAACGTCCGATTTTGTGTCAAAATATCTATATTAGAACAACGCGCTTTTTCAACTTTAAGTCGCGCTTTCGAGACATGAAAAACGCAGGTTGAATTTCGTCAATAGGCCCAGTAGAACGGGAGATATAGAGCTGTCCGCTCTTTTTTTTTGCGCAGTTTGCAGTGAAAGAGACAAAGAAAAATGTGGCCATTTTTTAAAATAAAAATTACAGCAGCATATATAAGTAAAACTTTATAGAAATGTAATATTTATTGCAAAAAGATTTGTTATAAGTTTAAATATGGATACTAGCATGTAAAATAGAGTCCTATTACAGGATATTGCACATTTTTATGCCAGTCATAGTCTCTTCATTCTTAGAAATACTCTTTCAGAATTTTACGGTATTTGAATAAAATATTCATAACCCAGATTCATTTAAAATATCATCTTCAATGATGAATACGCTGCAGTTTACTTGAATTTATGTTTGAATCAATTAATGTGTAGTTTTATTTAAAATAAATTAATTTATATATGCATATGTTACAGCAGTTAGCAATTTATTTCAAATATGGCAACTTGGGAGTGGTGGAAATTTTATGCCCAACGTATGCGTACGTTTCCTTCAATTTCTAAATAAAAATAAAAAGCCCATTCAAGGCTAAAATAATTTTAATCCTTTTAATGTTTTTAGAATTCAGGCGACTTGAAGATTACAATGCTTTTAACAAAATAGGGATTGCAATTGAAGTTTTGCTTTTCAGTTTCTTACCTGTAGACGCAGAAGATGATATTACCGAGGGGCAGGAGCCAGAGTGAGGGGGCTTTCCTGTGGAACTGGGGGTCAAAGATCTCTGCTGTTGTTGTTGTTCTAGCAAGGGTGCTCGACTTTGCGCAGGACTGGGTGGTAATTGGTACGCATGATGATGTGAAAGAAGAGGCGTCACCAGTTTCTCACCATAGCCTCCATTAAGTTGGACGCCGTTCCCCAACGCTGTTTGTGTAAGATCCGGTTGAACTGGAATTACCTCTGAAAGAAGAAAATTCTGATATAATTCACTTATTTAATTAAAACCTATGGATATGAATCTTATGTTTGTTAGCCTATTATTATCGTTATAAACATTTAGTTACAGAACACTTTTAATTAGATTCAAAATACCGTAACTCTTAGACCGTTTTTTTTTTTGAAGCTTTAATTAATAGGGTGATTCAGAAATCAGTAAATTAAACAAGAAAGTACCGAATTTTTAATACATAATAATGCTATAACGCTTCATTCCCAGAAGAAGGCAAACAACAGATTAAGAGTTGTTCACTAGAAAAGCATTGTCGTGCTTGCAAATCCAAAACCCAATGTTTGCCTTCAACAAGAGTAGAAAAAAATTCTTTTATACGACAGGTTAGAGTAAGAAAATGGTAAATAAAAGTCACATGAGAAAGCTAAAAAGCAGAAGTATATACTTTAAGGAGAAATGCCATGTATATTCAGTTGATAAATAATGCGATATAAATAAATCTATTAATAATGCAAATAAAACTTCCCGATATATCAAAAGCTCTGAAAGCATTAATTTGAGACGGAGAGGATTAATTTTAGTAAACAAAATAGCGCAATTTATATGATGTAGGATTTCCAACTAAAATTATTTAGTAAGATTTATATATTAATTATATTTTTCAAAAAAGGCGAAACTTGATCGGAAACGCAGACATCCTGAAGTTTAGTTTAAATGCATTACATAATCAATAAAATTTCAACATAATTAAAAAATATTCTGATACAAATAAGCCAATCGAGAAAGATTTCATACTCTAGAGCTTAAGAAAACATCGTTTCAAATTATTGTAATTCTATGCAAATTTAGGCGGTCTTCAAGTCATCAAAAGTATAAAAATTAGTTCAATAATTTTACAAAAGTTAGATCATTAATTTTACAAACTTAGCTTTTCGGAATTTTATTTTTACTTTAGATTATTGAGCTCTCTTTATTTATTTATTTATTTTTGTTTTACTTATTTTTTATATATTTGTTATTTTTATTATCATATTTAATAATTTTGTCTCCATTTGCAGTGCTATTGTACATTTGCTTATTTATTTTGTAAATGCTGTAACTTACTTGTGTAAGCAACGTGGTATATACTTTGTGGAACACGAGAAGTTAAAATAAGAATTAGCCCCCTCAAAAAAGTACAAAAATAAATAAATGGAAAGAAAAATAATTTAAAAATGTATAAATCAATTATGCAAGAAATACGCTTATAAATTGCCGAAATAAATAACTTGCTGGTTAAAAGTAGGTTGCAGAACGGTAACAAACAGAGGCAAGGACAAAAGTAAATTACAATTATCGTTCTGAAATTCATATTTTACAGTGGCTCACATTTGTTTTCGGACACTTATATTTTTGAAATGTATTCGCAAATTCCTGTACTCAGCACTGAAACACAGACTTTAAATTTGTTTTGTAATGCATAATTTTTTTCTATTTTAAGCCTTGATTGTAACAAAATATTCTTTGTAATAAAATAATTTATTCAAAAGTGCTCAATACTGAAACACAAACTTCAAATTTGTTTTCTAATGTATCATTTTTTTTCTATTTTAAGCCTTGATTGTAACAAAATATTCTTTGTAATAAAATAATTCATTCAAAAGTGCTAATCAATCTAATCAATAACTCACATAATATTTTTAGACCGCTCGAAAGTTTTGTTGAAATGTTTCGGCAGACGATGTTTCTTGCAATTATTTTATTTTAAATCAAAATATATCACAAGAATAGTCTACTACATTTGAAAATTATCACTTGTTTAGTAAAATATAGTAACAGTTCTATATCTGAAATGAACATGGCAAGACGCTAGAAATTAAAAAGTTCTGTTAGAAATTTACTTATTCGCCATTTTAAAGATGGAAAAATGATTCGAAATATTCAAAACAATTTTTAATGTGAAGCAGTAAACAATAACGTAGCATGTATTAAAACAATGGAAATTGTGTGGAATTATTGAAAATGCACCGAAGTCTAGGCTAGGTTTTAAACTTACGCCAATGAATCGGAGACTTATCCTACGAAAAACCAAACAAGAAATTAGTGCTATAAAACTTGCAGCGGATTTAGAAAAACGGTGTGTAATAAAATTTAACCCTAAAACTGTCAGAAAAGTCATTAAGGCATATGGATACAAAGGGCGATTAACAAGATTTAAATTCTTTGTCAACAAGAAAACCATGAAACTAACGTCTGGCGTTCCATGGTATGCAAAATCTATGGTAAGCAAAGAGTTATCACATTGGAATAACGTTATGTTTGCAGATGAGTCAAAATTTAATACATTGGGTCCAATGGACGAATTACTGTATGGCAAAACTAAATGAATTGAATCTGAAAAAAACCTGCTGTATGCAGCTAAGCATGGTATAATCATTTGGAATCATTGAGGTATAATAGTTTAGGAATATTTCGCTGCCTCTGGGATGGGAAATTTAGCTTTCATAGAAAATAATATGGAACAGTATAAATCAGTATTGAATTTCTATGAAGATAACGATCCTAAACGTATACCCTTAAAAGTTTGCTTGTGATTACGATTCAACTGCGATGAAATTATCAAACCGTCTCCATTATCTTCGGAATTAAATTATATTGAACATACATGAAGTGATTTAAAGAAAAGAATGTAGGAACGACTTCTTTCATCAGTAAGCTCTTCTGAAAGTAGGTTTTACGGAGGAATGAAACAAAATGGAACAGTCTTCTGGGAAAAAATTAGATAAATTCATGCCAACGCACACGAAAAATGTAATTTTAGCTAAAAGGATATCCAGTGAGATATTAAATGTCCCTTACTTCCATGCGTTTATTCAATATAAAATGTTTATTCAAAGTATCCGAATACTTATGCGAGTTAATTTTCAGAACGCTTGAATAAGCATATTTTAAATCAAAATCGTTTTGAATAACGTTTATCAAAACAAACATTTTTTTAAAAGATGATTGGTAGTATATGTGAAAGAAAAATTAAGTCATTTCGCTAATATCTAGTAACTGATATTTGCAAATAGAATCGAAAAACGCAAGTGTCCGAAAACACATGTGAACCACCGTAGATATGTCACTATCCATAATTTTAAAAAAAGGGTAACACTAATAATTCTATAAAAATTATAAAATTGATTTAAACAAATGAAAAAAAAATTAAAATATTTTTTCAGCTTGCAAATAGGTTAATATATTGAATATAAAATAAAACTAAGTATATGTAATAATTATAAGCAAATAGCAAAAATATTCCATTTCAATTCTTCAGATCACTAATTCACATTTTACATCGTTAACGTATAAAAATGCACATATTGAGACATCTCTAAAAAATCAAATATATTTAGACTTTAAAAAAATTTTAAAAAGTTACTAAATATAGTTTTTAAACAAAAATTAAATAAAAAATAATCGCCTTAATATAAACAAAATATGGAAGTTTACATAATAATAAAAACCTTAGCAGCAAAAATCGAAAACAACACATTTAAAAATCTCTGGTTGCGTCAGATCGATTAGGAATTTCATTAGCTTTAAATATTCAATCAATGAATTTAAGCCCAAATTATCTATGCAGGATAGTGATATAAAGAAAAGGAAAGATCATACTAATAGTAAAATATATTAGTCATTTCACGCAAGTTCAGCTTCACAAGATTAATTTTCATTTCTGAAAAGAACAACTTTTAAATATTACGTGAAAAAAAATTGAACATTTACATTATGTTACAATACATACGAAATGGATCGGTGTAAAACGTGAATAAACTGCACCGATATGAGAGTCACAATTTTAAAGACATACTAGTTTAAAGATCTAGATGATATGGAATAAAAATTTATTTGGCAAGTTATATGACAACATTAGTACAAAACGGTTTCGAATGGCAACATTAGCATAACTGAAGATTACATATATCGTTGTTATCTTTTAGAACATATTCTAATTTCATTACTATAATCGAAGATTTTAACACAGATCGAATGTGAAATATATTGAACAAATAAATATAAAGCATAGGTTTCTGTATTCACTTCTGAAATTTTCGATGTGTTATTTCTTCATTAATTAATTAATCTTAGTTTTTTAAGTTAATTCTCAAGATCAAGTACTTGTAAACGAGTTGCTTAAAAATTCTGAGTAATATATAATAGTTCTCAGTTAACACTGCAGTAATCGGCTTAAATTTGGGATTTTTACTTTAAGTTAATTAGTTATTAATTAAAAGTGATTTAATCCAGTTTGGGAACAGAATTAGCGATGCATTTAAATAGCTGTTTGCTAAAAGTAATTGCATTACCAAGGAAAACAGTGTAATTATATGTGTATGTAGTAGACAAGATTAAATTATCCCACAATTTTGGTTTTAGTTAATTATTAAGTCTCGCATTTTTAATTTCTTTAAGTCTAACACTTTTATTCTAAAAAGAATGTAATTAATTATCACGTTGTTTAATAAAGCAGGAATTTCGTTTTTAGAATATAAAACTATTTAGTTATTCTGCGATCTTTTTGTTTACACCTGCAAATCTTGACTGATTAAGATGTGATATTATGCATAAATTATTCCCCCGCATATTTATTACATATAGTACTCAGAAACTAAATTCTGTTTAGCTATAGCAAAGAAAATGCAAAAACAGATTTCGCGTATCATATTTCAATAGAAATATCCATTTTGACCGTTCCCGAATCCATATACGCGATTCTTTTGCGTGAGGTCTATATGTACACACAGAATAAAGAAATCTTTATTTCGAAAGGGATTGTAAAATGGATTCAAAATAGATTTTTTTTCTTGAAGTCTGTACGTACGTATCTACGTATGGGACTGCTATATCATCTAGCTGTATACCTTCCTTTTTTATTGCAATCGGCAATACCAAATGCATATCTATAAGTATCTATATGTATGTATGTGTATTTAAAGAATTACTTTTTAATTATACATATATGTATATATATATACACCCCTATATC